TTAGACATCATTTCATCATGGTTATACATACCATTTTCCGGTATGTTTTATAATCTCTGAAATTTTACTAATTTTCTCATCTGGTTTACCATAGTGACACACAAACACGAATTTTAAGTCCTCGTAAAATTTACTTGTTTTTTAGACATCATTTCATCATGGTTATACATACCATTTTCCGGTATGTTTTATAATATCTGAAATTTTACTAATTTTCTCATCTGGTTTACACCATAGTGACAAACACACGAAATTTTAAGTCCTCGTAAAAATTTACTTGTTTTTTAGACATCATTTCATCATGGTTATACATACCATTTTCCGGTATGTTTTATAATATCTGAAATTTTACTAATTTTCTCATATGGTTTACACCATAGTGACACACAAACACGAAATTTTAAGTCCTCGTAAAATTTACTTGTTTTTAGACATCATTTCATCATGGTTATACATACCATTTTCCGGTATGTTTTATAATATCTGAAATTTTACTAATTTTCTCATCTGGTTTACACCATAGTGACACACAAACACGAAATTTTAAGTCCTCGTAAAATTTACTTGTTTTTAGACATCATTTCATCATGGTTATACATACCATTTTCCGGTATGTTTTATAATATCTGAAATTTTACTAATTTTCTCATCTGGTTTACACCATAGTGACACACAAACACGAAATTTTAAGTCCTCGTAAAAATTTACTTGTTTTTTAGACATCATTTCATCATGGTTATACATACCATTTTCCGGTATGTTTTATAATATCTGAAATTTTACTAATTTTCTCATCTGGTTTACACCATAGTGACACACAAACACGAAATTTTAAGTCCTCGTAAAATTTACTTGTTTTTAGACATCATTTCATCATGGTTATACATACCATTTTCCGGTATGTTTTATAATATCTGAAATTTTACTAATTTTCTCATCTGGTTTACACCATAGTGACACACAAACACGAAATTTTAAGTCCTCGTAAAAATTTACTTGTTTTTTAGACATCATTTCATCATGGTTATACATACCATTTCCGGTATGTTTTATAATATCTGAAATTTTACTAATTTTCTCATCTGGTTTACACCATAGTGACACACAAACACGAAATTTTAAGTCCTCGTAAAATTTACTTGTTTTTAGACATCATTTCATCATGGTTATACATACCATTTTCCGGTATGTTTTATAATATCTGAAATTTTACTAATTTTCTCATCTGGTTTACACCATAGTGACACACAAACACGAAATTTTAAGTCCTCGTAAAATTTACTTGTTTTAGACATCATTTCATCATGGTTATACATACCATTTTCCGGTATGTTTTATAATATCTGAAATTTTACTAATTTTCTCATCTGGTTTACACCATAGTGACACACAAACACGAAATTTTAAGTCCTCGTAAAAATTTACTTGTTTTTTAGACATCATTTCATCATGGTTATACATACCATTTTCCGGTATGTTTTATAATATCTGAAATTTTACTAATTTTCTCATCTGGTTTACACCATAGTGACACACAAACACGAAATTTTAAGTCCTCGTAAAATTTACTTGTTTTTTACATCATTTCATCATGGTTATACATACCATTTTCCGGTATGTTTTATAATCTCTGAAATTTTACTAATTTTCTCATCTGGTTTACACCATAGTGACACACAAACACGAAATTTTAAGTCCTCGTAAAAATTTACTTGTTTTTAGCCATCATTTCATCATGGTTATACATACCATTTTCCGGTATGTTTTATAATATCTGAAATTTTACTAATTTTCTCATCTGGTTTACACCATAGTGACACACAAACACGAAATTTTAAGTCCTCGTAAAATTTACTTGTTTTTAGACATCATTTCATCATGGTTATACATACCATTTTCCGGTATGTTTTATAATATCTGAAATTTTACTAATTTTCTCATCTGGTTTACACCATAGTGACACACAAACACGAAATTTTAAGTCCTCGTAAAATTTACTTGTTTTTAGACATCATTTCATCATGGTTATACATACCATTTTCCGGTATGTTTTATAATATCTGAAATTTTACTAATTTTCTCATCTGGTTTACACCATAGTGACACACAAACACGAAATTTTAAGTCCTCGTAAAATTTACTTGTTTTTAGACATCATTTCATCATGGTTATACATACCATTTTCCGGTATGTTTTATAATATCTGAAATTTTACTAATTTTCTCATCTGGTTTACACCATAGTGACACACAAACACGAAATTTTAAGTCCTCGTAAAAATTTACTTGTTTTTTAGACATCATTTCATCATGGTTATACATACCATTTTCCGGTATGTTTTATAATATCTGAAATTTTACTAATTTTCTCATCTGGTTTACACCATAGTGACACACAAACACGAAATTTTAAGTCCTCGTAAAAATTTACTTGTTTTTATCCATCATTTCATCATGGTTATACATACCATTTTCCGGTATGTTTTATAATATCTGAAATTTTACTAATTTTCTCATCTGGTTTACACCATAGTGACACACAAACACGAAATTTTAAGTCCTCGTAAAAATTTACTTGTTTTTTAGACATCATTTCATCATGGTTATACATACCATTTTCCGGTATGTTTTATAATATCTGAAATTTTACTAATTTTCTCATCTGGTTTACACCATAGTGACACACAAACACGAAATTTTAAGTCCTCGTAAAATTTACTTGTTTTAGACATCATTTCATCATGGTTATACATACCATTTTCCGGTATGTTTTATAATATCTGAAATTTTACTAATTTTCTCATCTGGTTTACACCATAGTGACACACAAACACGAAATTTTAAGTCCTCGTAAAACTTTACTTGTTTTTATCCATCATTTCATCATGGTTATACATACCATTTTCCGGTATGTTTTATAATCTCTGAAATTTTACTAATTTTCTCATCTGGTTTACACCATAGTGACACACAAACACGAAATTTTAAGTCCTCGTAAAATTTACTTGTTTTTATCCATCATTTCATCATGGTTATACATACCATTTTCCGGTATGTTTTATAATATCTGAAATTTTACTAATTTTCTCATCTGGTTTACACCATAGTGACACACAAACACGAAATTTTAAGTCCTCGTAAAATTTACTTGTTTTTTATCCATCATTTCATCATGGTTATACATACCATTTTCCGGTATGTTTTATAATATCTGAAATTTTACTAATTTTCTCACCTGGTTTACACAATAGTGTCACGGAAGTTTGTCATTTCCTTTTATAAAAACACTAATATGACAGATCACACTTAAATTCTTTGACGCACAGGATAAATAAATAGCTGCATCTCGATCCGTTATAAATTACTTGGCACCGAAAACATTTGCTTTAATATTTCTGCAAGGTTTGTTAGAATTTGATTAGGTCGCTTATTTACTGAAAACTGCTTCAAATTATTGTTGAGATGTCTTCCAATATAAAAAGTAAAGTAAATTCACGAGGGAAAAGTTTATTCTAAAAGCAAGAGACCGGTAAGATTATGTGTACGTTGACAGTAAATGAATTCTCAACCAGAGTTCTATCTGAACGTCAAGTTTATTTTTGAAGAAAAAAGAGCTATCGATTTCTCAAAGTGAAGCGCACAATGTGTACAGAAAGAAAAAACGTATTGCAGACAGGGTAAAAGAATGATAAACTTTTTGTACCCTCTTTGATTAATGCAGAAAATATTGACTAAATTTGAAATGTAACAGCTATAAATCACATGCTCTATAAATATTTTTAGATTGATCTAATGTCATCGGAGAAGAGCCTCAATCCGATGGTTTTGCTATATCTTGATGGACATGGAACGGTTAAAGCTGCTGGTAATTCTTCTATCAAAAAGATTTTAGACTTGTGTAGAAGTTAAGAATTGAATTGGATTATTTTGTGTTTAAAATACGATTGTCGGTATAGAAGTAATGTAATCAATTCATTTAAACAGGAACGCCCGGCCTTCGTCGAGAAATCTTGAATATTTCCGAGATGCCATGTGCAAATATGTTGAAGACAATTCTTTGATTACAACTGACTCCCCAAGTACTAACTTTTATTTTGTTGTTTCTAAATTGTATAAAAACAAATAAAGGTGTCACAATGCTGCAATAAAGTCTGTATCATTTTATATTAGAAAGCTGTGAAGACGTTTATCAAGTGCAGGAGATACGCTCTGATCTTGTTGATCCTGATGCTTTGGAAGAAATAAAACAAGGGACTTGGTCGTGCAAAGAGCTACGGAAACTGGTTTTAAATATGGTTCTCCCAAGAACAGCTGACATCGGTAAAACTATTTTTGTATATTTGTGAGTAACTAATTTCTGATATACAACGGCAGACCTCGTGAATTCAAGATTGGTTTTAGACAAGAAAGGAAAACGGAAGTGGAAAGTGGCTAGAGTGAGAGACTTTTGGCTTAAAGCAGAGAAACCGTTGTTTTGGCCTCCTCACATCCCATTTGTTTCGCCATCTGCCAGGATTAATCAACCTTCAGGTAAATCAAGTGAATCAATCTTCAATATTTTCATTGTTTTTATTTACATATTGTACACCATTCTCAGAGGATGATTACGATGAAGAAGAATTTGATGATAAAACAGAACGCTCGAGAAAAATTTTAAATAAGAAAGAACTGATAGAGATCGCTCTATCGTATGGAGAATACGTTCATGAAGTGAGTATTATTGTTGTAGATTTAGTATATAGAAGACAACTCACTGCTTCTCTTAACTTTTGTTTAATTAGTTTACTGGAAATGAAAAAAATGAAGAGACAACACAATCATTTGGTCAAGGAAGACAAGAGGTACACACTAACCATCTTTTAAGAAATAATATAAGAACATTTAAACACGAACTGCTATTTGCTTTTATTCCCAAGAAAACTAATCGAGATGCGAATGTTGGAAAAGATACGTATACAAGCGAAGAAGATAAAAGAAGTGATGAGAGCGAGAAAGAGAAGATTTCGAAAACAAATTTGTTGATAACGAAGCTGCATTAAATAACATAAAAGAGGATGAAAGGGTAAATGAACGTCCAGGAAATTACAAAAAACAGCGTACCAAAAATGAACGTTTTTTTCTATACCCATCAGGAAGAGGATACACAATTAGTGAATTTACAACAGATGAGAGACATGTACGAAAAAGTAAGAAAACTTTTAGAAACTCACATTTATTTTTTTAAATTTCAAAACGATACCACAATCCATTTTAGAGAGAAATAGCTTGTATTGTTCGCGCAATGTTAAAAGACCCCCTAAAATATGTTGAAACAGCCTACGAATTGTTGGACTTAGCTGATACACATCAACATCCTATTACGAAAAATTTAAAGTATGAAATGCTAATGTTTATTGACTGATTGAACGGTTCTAATCTAAATGACAATTTGTTGATTCCTTAATAATATTTGAGTAGGTCACACGAAAAGACCTCATGGGCGTTCCACATGATTACGACACAAGTTGTCCTGGAGACATTTTCAACGCTTTAAGCATTGATCCCAATAGACTTCAACTCGATTCATTTCTATACGGAGTTGCACATCAATGTCATTTGGCATCCGAAGTAATATTTTGCTCTGTAAATCTCTAAGTTTTTTTATTTATAAAAGAAACACATCTTTTTCTAGCGCTCACGACAAACAAGTAAAGCAATTTCAAATGAAGAAATTATAAAAGAAATACAAGATTTCAACACTGAAGGTGAACATTCTCAAAATTCAAATCACGAAGAAAATTCTTTAATATTAAACAAATTTAGAAAACCTACATGACAAGCAAATTATTCCCTTTTTTAGAGGTTACCCTTACTAACACGCATGTTCAATGCATTGCTGGAGCACTTCGTGCGTCATTGGAAATATGGAGTCCCCAGTTTGAACTATTCCATATCTATTTTCCGTGTTTATGCCAAGTTACGGACAACGGAGGAATAGGCTACTTTAGTTTGACAGTTGGCAAAACTTTTCAAAATAGTTATGTATTTATGGAGCAAACATCTGAAAAGAGACCGACTAGAAGAAAAAGCCAGCAACTACAATCAGGTCAATAAAAATTGAATGTCTCATGTAAATGTTTCTATTGAATATGTGAAGAAAATTCCTGACGATAATAGAAAACTATATCTTTGACAGGAAAGAATGCAGTGAAGAGAGTGAAAGGTGACATTCATATATTGAAAATATTTGACAAAAGGAAAACGACAAAGGTAGCATCAATGCCTTTTAGAGTGAACTGTTTTGATGGCATTGTAATATACAAGAGTGATGTCGAAACATTAAATGGAAGCAAGTGGTTGTGTGATACCATAATTGACTTTTTTTTAAGGTAATGTGAAATGATTCAAATCTAACATATAGAAGGAAGCAATAAAAACTTTACAAGCTAACTTAAATTACATGAATGCAATAGGTATTACTGCAAAACGGCAGAAAGAAAAGACGATGGGGAACAATATTATGCCTTTTCTAGTTTTTCCAACAGAAACTACTCATGAAAGGACACGTGTAAGTGTCCGGTTAAGATTTCACCCTAGATTCTAGAGATAATTACATGTTATAATATTTGCAATTTTTCAGATCAAAGCGACCATTAGATCTTTCGGGATGCAACTTACATGGAGTGAGGAGATACACACCTAAGAACATGTATCAATATAAAATGATTTTTATACCAGTCTGCGACATGTAAGAATTTTACAAAGAAAATCAGTTTCTATAGTTCAATTCTATGAGATACTTGAGACATGATATATTTTAAAGGACACATTGGTGGCTAGTGGTCTTTGAAGTTTTGACAAGTCGTTTATACGTGTTGTGCAGCATGGGTTGGAAGAATAAAACTGTTGCTTCAAACATAAGAAGGTTGTTATTTCTATACATACTGAACTAACAGGTTGCCTCTTTTGATATGTACCGACATGTTTTCTAACTTCATAAACAGCTTTTTAACGTTAAGGTATCTCCAACACATAAAAGAAGAGCAACAATGGCCAGACCACATGGGAAGCATTTCAGAGCCTATTTATGCGGATGTAAGTCGAGTAATTGTTTGACAAGCATAAACACATTGATCTATAAAGTCAATGTATGGATATGTCACAAACGTTGTTATTTAATCACCATTCAGGTTGCAAGGCAAAAAAATGGTCACGATTGCGGCGTATATTTGTTAGAGTTTGCAAGAGTAATAATAAAGGAGGTATTTTGTTATGTAGACATTTGCTGTCGCAAAATACGCAAATAATTTAAAAGCAACATATTCCAGTATGTGACATATAACAGATAATTTTATCATATTTTAGGGATGCATCAACTCATCGATAGAAAATATAAACAGTGAGGGAAGACGTACGCAGCTAAAGAGCTTCTTCAGTCCCTGTAACAGTCGACCTGTTTACACACAATGAAAAACAGGCGTTATATAAATGGTCAATGCTCGGCACATTTGTTCAATTACTTCTTCATATAAACTCTGATTGTGTCATGAGGTGCAACATTACTACTACATAGAATAATCGTGGAGTAAATATATATACTTAATAACTAATGAGTACCAGCATTATCCATTGACGTTGAAAAGCTATAATATCGTGCGAGTTATGATTTCAACATTTTAAAAATTGATTTCATTCATTTTCATATCCAAAATTTTTCATTATGCTATAAATGCGAAAAATATGAAGCTGTTTGAGGACAAAATGTTACAGCTATACGTTACGCAGACATGTCATAAATATGACGTATTTTCTTTAAAATGATGAATTTAGAAAAATATTTCAACTGTTACTTAGACTTTTTTTGTTTGTTCCAAAGTGTTAGCATTTCGTTTCAACATGGTTCCCAATTAAATAATACTGGTTTTCAAATACTACTTATCTGATAATATTGCTGATTGCAAGAAACGTTTCCCTCTCTGGAACATCCCGTCCAGGATTGCATTTTATTATGCGCAACATGTTTCTGTACCAAATATACAATTTCGAAAATAGCAAAAAGTTGTCATATTCCATGTATGAAACCATTGACGCAAGTGGCTTCATTACAGAGTTACACTGCTCTGCAGCTTGGCTGTTGTGCGTTTTTAAAATGGGATATCTATTAATATCGTATCCCTCAGAGCAACCTATAAGAGTCAAAGATATGAGTCGTTTCAATTTCGACACACTTAGCATAATAAAATACGAGTTTTATACCAGAATGGTTTCTCCAATGAAACTTGTCGACGATGAATTTGGATTTTTAAAAAGCAGGATCGCGGTTAAGGCAGTACTCGTGTAGTTTGCACGCGTTGTCATAGATCACTAGTTCAGGAGCTAAACATTATAAGTTTATTTGTTTACAATTGGGAGTAACGAAACGCTAACAATTTCACAATTCTCATAAAAGAATGAGAAATACCTCAAAACTTCAAATTACCTTCAGAAAATCGAGTTCTTAAAATGGTAAAAGGAACATTGGGTGATTCATGATCGGGCATCACTTGAAAGCCGTAACAAATACCTAAAAACAATAAAAATCTCATAATTTTTCAATGAGGAGAGTTTACGGGATGAATTTTCCTGTCATTCTATGATCAAGAACATTAATGCTTCTTTGCCATACCGTGCGGACATAAAATAAGGAATATCCCAGGAATTAAAGACCCATGCTTCTTCTTTGAACGAACGCCTTTGGCACAATCATCTAAATGACCAGCTCTTTTGTGTCAAGAACATAGTGCCCACGTTCAACAAGAGAAGGCAAAGATGGAAAAACCTAACTGACCATCACACTGAACTTGGGGAAGGTTGTGGGGCAAACGCTCACACCCGTTTTGGTCAGTAAAAGGACTGGACGCTTTGGCGACCATTTCCCCACACAAAACACGTATGGGGTTTGGCAGCTCTGCAAAATGATTGCAAAGACAAAACAAGAGGGGGACCTGTTCGTGCAAAAGTTGTAAATCAGACAATGGATTGTCCTTTGGATTTGCTCCGTTGGCAATTCTGATCAACAAATCCTTCACCTCTCTCACAGGAGGTACAATTGCACAAACAGGTTTATCTGACGCAAGTGCTTTGAGAAGTCTTATGCAAGGTTCTGGAAACGTGACACCAAAATGTTCCTCTCTAAGGGATACGATTAGCATTTTAGGCCAGGAGATGAAATCTAAATAAACGAGCAATAGTAAAATAGCCTGTAAAAATAGCTACAACATGTTCTTAGCATATTGTACATCAATAAACAACTAACAACATTCATACTTCCGAGGTTAATTCCACGAGTTCGTCTTCTGTAATTTGGTTCTTTATAAATTTCTTCAACAACTCTCTGCCTCTTCCGATTGAGGAAGTTCCGCGTTTCGAACCTAGTGTTGGAAAAATCCGCCCCAAAATAAAACACATGTCCATAGCCACACACCCAGAAAAACACTTATCTTCCATCCATCGTAGGGCCTTCTGGGGAGCTACCTTACGAGGCAAGAAGGTTTTGGATACCAAGTGCCGTACCGTCCATAACAACTTTTTTCGGATGTTTTCCACAGATGTTACAATGAAAAGCGTCAACAAAGTCAATGTCAAGTAATCTAAATAGCGTAAAAAATCAGTGTTGTATCCAGCAAGGATTTTTTAGATCTATGGTTAAAACCAATTAACATAGTTATTCTTAAAAGCGGATACAATACTGCCTGTTTTGTCAACAAAATAAATAAGAATGCCATTTGATCTATTCAGTGTTGCCACTTCATAAGGAAAGTAAAATGATAGTAAATAAATGTTCAGACTTTCTTGGACATTAAAAGTAGGATAGTGTTTTCATTTTTTGTACCTCTCTATGTACCCTTTGTTGACCATTACCTACAGGTGGGAGCACCTCTGTGCACCTACACTCCCCACCCTTATCATAAATTCACCACCAATGAAATGATCAAATGCTAAACATACGTAAGTGCTACAGATATATATATATTGGTAGCATACGTACTTTTATCATTTATATTTAGCATTACAACAAAAGTTAATTTAAACAAACGAATATCCGATCAAATAAACTTTTAAATACATGTAACTCACCAAAAATTGGTGCAGGTTGAAATAAAAAAAAGTTACCTAATCATTGCAGTAACTGCCAGACGAAACTTGGTGTAAGTTATAATGCCAGAAAAATTCAAATTTCCTGACATAACTTGTCTTTGGACGTACGTCACGTAATATTTATACATGGGCAGGCTAAACCATTTAAAAGATGAAAAGATATTTTCATGAATTCATAATTAATCATGTAGATAAAAATGTTTACTTCATACTTGATAACTGACTATCACACGTACCTTGAAACCAAAAAATGCCTTATATAATCTTTGAGGACTGCATGCGAAATGGAAAATGATCCAAACCACAAGACGTTGTTCTCGATACCATCGTACCGCTTCTTGTTTGTGCATGTAGAACACGGTCGATAATACACTAAAAATTCACAGAAGATTGTAGTCGTGACACTAATACAAAGAAAGTAATAAATAATTCAGTTTACAAACCATTCACACAGTGGAAATCATAAAGATACGCCACATGACAGCCTTCCACATCCAGCCAGTCATCTGATACATCACGCTTATCCCAAGCAGCACCACAAGAGCAAGTACCACAAGCACTAGGTACGAATATCTTTGACCAGTTCATAGCCAGAAGCTTAGCAAAATGATTGGCATCATTCTCATCACAACCTGTGTGAAAAATGAGTATTGAAATTTAAATGACGATTCCATGTTTTTGGCCACCCATTACACAAACACATATATATTATTTCCATTTACTACACTACTTTACCTATTTCAAATAATTTAACTTTTTTCACTACGAGTTGCCAACTCGTAGTAATTTCTCATTTCAGGTGAGGTTTCAAAAGCTAACTTAAAATATGCTAGCTGCGAGTCGTCATCATCTTGTACGATTTCCAGCGCCTTCCCAAGAGTTGTAACATGAATGCAGAGGTAAGATGAACAATTAGAACATCTTAGCTCTGCTTGAGGTAGTGCTACTTTAGAATAAGTAAATGTGCACACGCCCCATTCGCGATTGACTGGTTTTACAGCAATCCAGTTGGGACCACCACTAACGGCTTTAAACAAGTCCTGTAACATGAAAGGAGCTATCGTAGAACATATTATAATTTAATCAATGACTGCAAGTAAAAACCTCTTTAGGAAACATTCCACAGTATGAATGATCTATTGGGTCAGATGTTCCTGATTTTTCCACAACTTAAAAATTAAAAACAAACATACCATCAATTTTATGCAAAATTACTTTTTTCACAGGTTGGCATGATATTAGCATACTGTTCTCATATAGCAAAATAACCACCATTCTGCATTATTACATGTTTCTGGATGTAGATCGTCCAGGTTAGTAGAGTCCTGAAAATGACTGTTATTGTTGGTGTTGACTGACGTTTCTACAACCTTAGTGGTAGTCATCTTC